AAAAAAAAAAAAAGGGGCTTGAAGGGGTTTTGAAAGGTGCGAAAAATAGTAGGGGAAGGAGGTAACAGTGTGAGGAGGGAGCTGGGGGGGAATATGGCAAATGCTGCGATCTGCCCTTGCCATTCCCTCCCCAAAAATGGAGAGGAGTCCGTCCGGTACCCCAGCCCCTCGGCGCTGGGGATGCCCTGCTGCCTGCCCCGGTGCTGCCTGCCCCGGCTGAGCCCATCCTCCTGTTCCCGCAGTTTCCAAAATGCAGGACTTGCCCTTGGTCCCAAAAAACCTCTCTTCGGCTGTGCTGGGGCAGGAGGGGATAACCTGGTGCTCCCGTGTGATCTCCCAAAACCCTGCAGGCTCTCGGCACGGAATTGGCTCCCAGGGCCAGCCTGGTTTCTTGTAATTAGGTGTGACCAGTGCTTGGTCATATTGCAGAACATGGTGCATAGTTACACAGAGTCTAAACAAGGTACGAGCTCACACAGGTACTCAAACTTGCTAGGTTTTCCATCATTAGGAGTTACTTTCCTGCGCTGTGGATTTGTATGGCTCTACGAGCTGTTAAACATGTGCCTGTGTCCAAAATAATGTCATCATCTGCGTCTTTATGCGCATCTGCTCATTTACATTATTATCATGAGGCACATTATCTTCTGTAATGGTATGAAGATTTGAGCCGTGGAGGCCAGCCGTCCCCTGTACGTGCGTTCTTACTGCATGTGCAGTGTATCTGCCATAACCCGACGCACAGCCTGTCTCGGCAACTGCAACAAAATCCTAATGATCTCTTTCTTTTCACCACCTTAAAAGGTAGCTCCGCCTTAAGCCAGGAGGATGCTTTCCTATCTGTCTGGCTTTCCTCTCCATCCCTTTTTACTCCACAGCAGTGTTTCTGGATTTTTTTTTTTTTCCCCTCCTGTGCAGTAACAGAAATCAGGCCAGCCAGGGGAGGAGGAGGCAGAGAGCTATTTCAGGGAGCTGCTGTTATCTGCTCTATGATAATCCCCTGGCAGGGCGGGGGGAAGGTTTTCCCCGAGTGCTTTACTGGGAGGGCATATATTAAACATTGAAAAGCAAAGAGAGGAAGAAGAGGATTAGAGGGAGAGAGAGGAAGCTGGCTGCTGGTTTTAGTTGGGTTATCCATCTGCTCTGCTTGTATGGATGCAACAGCGTGAGCAATCTCACTTGGGGTTTTTTTGTGTTTCGTTTTTTTCCCTTCTTCCTTTCCCCACCCCTTTCTCTCTCCCTCTCAGATATCCGTGTGTCGAGGTCCTTTTGCATCACCGTTATCCAGGAGCCCTGGAAGCCCCCTCACTCCCCTTCCTCCCGGTTTCACCTCCTGCTGTAGCTGAGCTGTTGAGATAATGGAGCTCAGGACTGTGGTAGCCACCGTGGAAAGCGGGGAGCAAGACACAGTTCTCAAGGTGCTTCAGATCTACAACCAGGAGGTGAGTGAGCATCAAACCTCTGCCTGATGTCAGCTGCTGCTGTTTACAAGCCTGGAAGCGGGTTGGCCATGTTGTGGGATTTCTGTGCCATCCGGCTGTCCCCAGTCTGTCTCCTCTGAGTGCATCTGTCTGTGCATTGCTGCCATGAAAATGTTACAGACTGCTTCGTCTTTTACTTGCAGATGGCTTATTGCTTGATGTTTTGCTAGGAAGCAGCTAAGCAGCCTCTCTTTATCTTGGTTCCTTTGTATACTGGAAGTAAAGCATGTAGAAGGGGTTTGTTTTTTTTTTTTATTATTATCCAGATCCCAAGTAAAACCTGGCAGGGAAATAAACATCAGTGTGAAGACCAAGTAGGAGGAGCTTTTATGTTAAGGCAAGGTTTGGAGGTAGTAAAACTGAGGCCTGGGGAGGAGCTGCAGGTGAAACGGTTGTCATGATTTGCAAGTAAAAGGTCATTAGAGGTGGACAGGGATGGGCTGCTGGAATTTGATACAGGTGCCTGATCTGAAAGCTGACAATAAGAGGTAAATAACAAATATAGAATATCAAAAAAAGAATGGTTGGGAAGCAGAGATGGAAGCGTTCCTAGCCTTAAAGTGGCAAAAGATTATCTGTGAGGGTAAATCCCTTTTGAAATAGACTCTGGTTGTCAGGGAAATTTCCTTCAGAGGGTTTCCACCAGGGTAGGGCTGGCCCTGCGGATCTCCGTGACTCATTCTGCACCATTCTTGAGTAGGTGGGAAGCCAGCGGGGAAAACCTGTGAATATTTTGCACGAGTGTGCAAGAGGCAGAGTGTGCAACTATTTCCAGCAGTCGGTTTTGAAACGGGGGAGATATTAGCGAAGAAGGAGCGGGTCGCTGTTAAAGACAGTCCGCGGGATTAACATCACTTACAGCAGGTGTAAAGCTGGAGAAATTAGGAGTGCAAAAAGAGTTTGTTGTGTAACCAGCTTGAGGCATCAAACCACAGTATTTTCTGTCGAATTCCTCCAGCTGGATCCTTTGTCGGTGTATCAAGTGTAGGAAACTTGTGAGAATGTCAGTGGCTTTGCTAGCCCGTCTAGAAGAAATGGAGCAATCAAAGAGGATTATGAAACTGCAGATAAACTAAGCAACTTTCTTGCAATCATTTTTTACTGTAAAAATTGATGGTACTGTATCCTTTTTCTGGGGATATATTTTAATTCACTATTGCATACGCAGTCAATTTTTGATTGCCAGGAATAAACTACAGCTAAAGCAAAACCACGGGGATGGCAGAAATATACACGAATGAGATTACAGGAGCCTGCGGAGAGGATGTGATGGGAAAAGAAGAAGCGGCATGGCTGTCTGCAGAGCACATCGGTTCCGGGACTGAACCGCCAGTTCCTCATAACGTGGTGCAACAGCCTATGCACGGGGTCAGCTCACAGTGCTAAAGCACGAGAGGGCAGCCCCTGGCAGAGCGCTACAGGAGTACAGCTGTCCTGCCTCCACACCTGAGGTTTCTCAAGCAGCGTGTCGGCATCGCTTTGTCCATCATGGCTTGCTCTAGGCTAGAAAGACCAAAGCCATCCCTGGGATCTTGGTGACCGTGACACGGTTAATCTGCAAACTGTATCTTCCGCTTTTAAGCAGACGGGAATTGGCAGCACATAAAAAAGGCGGTGAACGGCAGGGGAGACTACGTTTGCAGAGTGAGCGAGTCAGGGAACACCTGCGCTCTCCAAAAGCTCAGTGCAGTCAGTTTTGGGCTTCGCTGGGCAGGAAATCAGGTGGAGTTAGACAACTGGATAACTCGTAAGGTGATAAATGCAGTGGGAGACAAGCTCAGCTGCTCAGACCTATAGATGGGATGTCCATAAATTGTGATCGCTCAAGAGAAGAACAAGTCCAGAGTATAAGAATGATTGATTGTGGTAAGACTAATTACCGTTATTGAGTGGCTCCGTAAGTGTAAGCAGTGTAACTCAATAAAAGGTGACAGTGAGCGCTAAGAAAATGATGGGAGAATTATGATACAATTACATCCACATATCTCTAGCTATAGATCTAGGTGTATCTCTACATACATAGTTAGTGTTTTATAAATTTTAAACATTTTCATTCTCAAAGCTTGGACCAAATGCTCTCTTGGTGTAAATGAGGGTTGCGTCATTCACTGGAAAGTGCTGCTTTTCACCAGGGCGCCTGTGGTCTCCTGTGCTGTCCAGTTCATTGAAAGCAGATGTAGCCAGAAAGGAGACTGTCCATCGAAGAGCAGCCAGAATAGTGAGAAACACAGAAATGTTTCCCATGAACGAAGAGCAGGACTGTTTTTATTAAGGAAAGTGACATGAGGGAGGTGTAGAGATCAGGTCTCTTGTGTTTAAAGAACGTGATCTGAATAACCACAAGGATCTGTTCGCAAGTAGCAAGGAGACAGTACTTTTTTTCAGTCAGGAAAAGGAACAATAAATATCAAGGGGAAAAATGTTATAGGCACAGCTTGGTGGTGCCACTGAGCAGAGGAATTACCGGCTATTACAGGATATTTGGATTATGGTGAATGCCCACTTTACTGCTGCAGTATTTAAAAATAAGCCCGTCCATCAGATGGGCACAGCTTTGGCCTGTGGCAGTCAGCCTCCACCGCAGAGCCAGCAGAAGAGGGCAATGGGTAATATTCATCACAAATGTTTTTCAAGGATGAAAGAGAAGCAGGGGCCTCCAGAATAGCGGGGATCTCACTCAAGGAAAGCACTTCACACCTGGTGGCATGGTCCACCTCTGTGCTTTTCAAAGCAGATTCATTCCCCCTAGTTGTGAAGCACATAGTTGGAATTGCCTAAATAGGAACAGTGTTGGAAAGAAAAGGCAGGACTGAAACAAAAACCTCGGTGGCAGGAAAGTTTTCCTTTTGTCTTGTTCCTTAGGAGCTTGCACTGCTTGTTACGAACGCCACAAATATCGTAGACCTCTCTAAGCGCCGTGGCACTCCTTGCCACACTGATTCCCTGCCTCTGTGCCGGTGGGGACTGTTCTTGAGAAGATGTGCTTGCTTTTGCAGCAAGCACAAACACATTTAGGCCTGCTGCTTTCCAGCTGAATGGCCCTTCCCTGCCTGGGGGGAACAGTTTTGTGGATGTTTAACCTATTACTTTATTTTGATTGTTTCTCTTTTGCCCCCACAGAAGTCTCAGTGCTTCACCTTTGATGATGAGGAGCGGGAAGAGAGGAAGGTAGGCGTGCTCTTTGGCTTCTTCCTCTAGTAGGATGGATAAATCTGCTGCTCTGTACTCGTGTCCAGCAGGGCTTGGTGGTGGCAGCTCCTACAGGGAAAGAAATGAGTGGGTTTTTTGTTAACTTGATTAGGGAATGGTGTGCTCAGAGCATCTGCCTCCAGTTTTTCCATCAGTAGTTGATGTTTTAGGATAAAGGTCGGCATTCTTCCAGTGTTAGCAGGCCCTTTGGGTTCCGTGATGCATATAGTCTCAGCCACGGGTGTATAAAAAGTGTGATCGTGTTTGTGGCATGAGTCTGCTAGGCAAAGATCATAGCAACATGCAAGCCTCTAGAGGGTAAGTGTTTTTGCTGTGAGCCAGCTGCAGGATTTGACCAAGGCTGTATATTAACAGATACTTTAAGCTGGCGTAATCTGGCACTCAATGGAAAGAAGCACTCCTGCCTGTGCGTTTCTACTCTTGCAAAGGTCTGCCCTGGCACGGAAGAACTGCATGGCTGCACGTGGTTGGTGGGCTGATCTGCCTAAAGAATAAGACTTTTTTTTTTTCCTGGATTATTTTCCTGCTGGATCAGTTTTGTGGTCCAGTTCATTGGTTGATTGCGCTAATGCCTGTGTTAGCACATCAGGTGTGGACCAGGCGGCCAGGGTGGAGAAGGGGACCTCTTTTGTCCGTGCTATTGCCAGCTAATGCTAGCATGAAGTTTTTCCAGGTACAGCCTGATGCGTAGGACCGGATCTCACAAGATCCGAGCTCTTTGCCTTGCACTGACTTGCTGTTTGAGCTGGGACAGTCACACAGGCCGTGAATTCAGGCACAGCCTTGGGGTGCTCCACTTTTGGGGTGTATGTCATGAAATATGAATTGAGCATTGCCGTCTAGTTCCTGGTGCTCAGTTCTTCTGAAGGTTTAGCCCTGGGCACATGCTCTGAGATCTCTTTAACCTGAGTCAGTCAGAGGCTTTGGTGACTTATGACTGTATCTTTAACTCCTGTGTCTGTCTCCTCGTATGGAAGAAGAGGAATGACTGTACTTTCTCACTTCTCAAGGGTGTGATTGTGGGGCATACTTCATGAGCTAAAGCTTGTTCAGTTCTGCCAGCCTCACATTAAGGACTAAAATTCATTTTTTCTTCATTCCTTCCCTCAGTTCTTTTATTATTATGAAGTGTAACTGATAAAGCTATGTTAAGCCAATGACACTGAGCAATAGCAAAACTTGCAATCTTGGATTCTTTCGCTCTTGTAATATGCATGGAAAGACACGTGCTCTGATGTGGTGTTATCTTAGAGAGATCTAGTGAGATCTTACCTCACCAAGGTGTGAATGTCTATGCAGTGGATTACTAGTGTAATCTGAAGTGTTGCTACACATGGTTCAAACCAAGCTGCGCTTGGTTGTGTGAAGCATTACCTTTGCTCTTGTACTCTTCTGTTGCTGTCGCATACGATGCTGTTATCCTCAGTGGTTAGATTTTTCAGCTGTTGTGAATTGGTGTTAACGGAGCTCTGCCAGTCTGTACCTACTGAGGATCTGGGCTAGTAGGTCTCCAGACAGCACTGAGGTTTAAGGAGGTACTACTTATTTGAATCTCCTGAGGTCTTTTCACCTCCTTTCCTAGGG